GAGTAATTGGGATATCACCTTAAATATGTATCTTTTCTTTATGCTAGGAACATTTAAATTATTCTCTTTTAGCTTTTTTAAAATGCACAATCAAGGCTAACTATAGTCACCTTACTGATCTGTCAAACATCAAGTCATTTCTTATCTCAATTTTATAAAAGATAAATGAAAGATAGTGATTTAAATAAATATGTAGGTAGAGAGGCAGACAGTTAAATATAAGAAAATGATATCATTTATATAATTTATATAAATATATATATTTGATAATATCAAAAAGAAAATATAAAAAGATAAAAATACCCTGGTGATGTTGAGTGATTTTCATTTTTTTCTTTTACCTAACTTTATTTTACAAACTGTCTACAAGTATCATTTTTAATCACAAAAGAAGTATTTTTAATGAAAATATTTACCAACAACAGTTAAAAAAAAGGTAACAGAAGATTTGAATATTAGGTTATTGTTGATCTCTTATGTTGCTCCATTGCTTAGCCTGCAGTACTCTGTGTGAAGCTATCAGCTTTGCTTCATTGTGTAGCAAGACATTGCAGGAAACACTACTTTGTTAAGTCGTATGCAATGATCAATAGCCATAGAGACCTTCTGACTAAACAATGATATGAGACTTGAAAATATCTGCATGTTTACGTGAGCTTTCTTGATGAGAATGTCTCCATATGGATTTCAAAATCTTTATGTAGATACGTACATATCTCACTTGAAGTCAAGAGGAAATTAGAATACTTTTTTAAAAGAATAATCCCTGGAAAATATTTTTTTGGGCCAGGCGCAGTGGCTCACACCTGTAATCCCAGCACTTTGGGAGGCTGAAGCGGGTGGATCACCTGAGGTAAGGAGTTCGAGACTAGCCTGATCAACATGGTGAAACCCTGTCTCTACTAAAAAAAGAAAAAAAAATTAGCTGGGCGTGGTAGTGTGCACCTGTATTCCCAGCTACTAGGGAGGCTGAGGCAGGAGAATCACTTGAACCTGGGAGGCAGAGGTTGCAGTGAGCAGAGATCGCACCATTGCACTCCAGCCTGGGCAACAAGAGCAAAACAAAAAACAAAAAAAAAGTATTTTTTTTGGTCAGGAACAGTGGCTCGTATCTGTAATCCCAGCACTTTTCTGAGGCAGGTGGGCAGATCACTTGAGATTAGGAGTTTGAGACCAGCCTGGCCAACACGATGAAACCCTGTCTCTACTAAAAATACAAAAATGAGCCAGGCATAGTGGCACGTGCCTGTAGTCCCAGCTATTCAGGAGGCTGAGGCAGGAGAATT